GAGCTGACCGGCCCCAAACAATTCATTAGTAGTTCATTACTAGAATCATTAGTAGTTGGTTTTGGTCGTCAAGTTCCATCATCTGGATTCGAACACAGGTCTGTATTTTAACAGTTCACGGGTGTACCCACTGAGCTAGGCTCTTGGGTGAGAGAGCAACTTTTTTACTTTTCAATGTTTTCATGCATTTGGATCGTTTTCTGTTACTGTGCATCAACTTTTTTGGCTTTGTCTTCTTGACCTTATTTTTGGAATCCGTGTTGATGACTTCTGGTCTGCTGTCTGCTCGTTTCCCCTAGGGGGTGACCGATTCTTTGTGCTAGGAACTGCTACTAGGTAGAGAGAGGATTTGTTTCTCTTGTGCTCAGCTCAGTGCTCACAGAATTGCAATGGTTTTCTTTTCATATTGCAGGAGAACGTCGATAAAGGTGACAGATGATAAGGGAAAGGGTGAAGAGGCAGAAGAAGGTTCCCCTTACGAGACACGGTATGCATCATCGGATGGGTTACGGACAAGAAATGAATATGAAAACGGACATGCTTCCAATGGGTTATGGGTGACAAACGAAGAGACGGAGGCAGGGACTGGGATCGCAATTACCAACCCAGAAATAACAGACATGGGAAAGTTTGATACTCGACCGATGCCGCGATAAAGGAGAGGTTCTTGATTGGAACTTTGGGCAAGCAAAAGTATGAAGAAGGAGAGGGAGGAGTTGAAGGGGTTCTGGAGGAACAACATTCACAGTGATAGAATCAACATGGAGGATGCATCAAAGGAAGTGGAGACGGTGGAGGTAACGAATGGGCTTAGAGCAAGCAATCTCTTGTGTTGCGAGAATTGCAAAATGGAAAACGAAAAGAAGAAGAAGAAGAAGGAGCAATAAAGATAATTAAGAATTGAACAATGCTAGACATGGGACTGTGAGACTGATACGAGGCTATGTGTTGCCAGAATTAAGGAGAGATGTTGGTCTAAACGACCACAAGTATCATCGGCAAGGAGAGGGAGGAGATGGAAGGGGTCTAGAGGGAGGCTATTAATGGCGACTGAGCCGTCATGGAGAACAACTTTAATATCTGAGAGATGCTGCATGCAAATGAGAATAATATTGTATAATATATAAGTATAAAGAGAAAGAGAGGATAAGGTGCACGCCATTTACAGAAGCACATCTTCAACCAATGATCTCAGGCCGAAAAAACGAAAAAGAGTGATCCACGAAGCCCAGGAAGAGCTGTTCAGAAACAAGTAGCTGCAGAAAAATGGCCCTTGAGCAGAGGGCTTCGGAATCCTCAACCAATTCAGAAAACAAAGGGATGAACATTGTGCATAGAGAGGATCTGGACGGAGAAGGAGCGGAGAGACACAACACGTCACCAAGAAAAGGGGGGATAGAGTAGAAGGGTTTGTGGATGATCCCTCTCATCTATGGCAGTGTATACCATTCAGGCTCCTGGAGATCCAAACAAACAAGCATAGCCTGCGTAGGTGTAGAAAGGGAGGATGAAGGATGAGATTGCACAGCACAGATGGAGAGCAAGGAATGGGCAGCAGGTTGTTGTGGACAAGAACGAGAGTTGATTCTGACTTTGGATTGAGAACAGTGGGATTGGGGGCACTCTCGACAATACTGCAGGCCTATAGTCTTCTCTGGAGGAGTCGAGCACTCTGGATGATAAGCACAGAGAGTCTCACCGTCAAAGCTTGCTTCCATCCTGTCGAGTAGTGTTACATTGAGATGATGCGCTGTGTCATCTATGACAGCAAGAGGACTGTGATGCTGCTGAGCTTAGAATCAGAAAGAATGACAACATCGCATTTGGAGGAAAGAAGACAAGATGGCTTTTGTAGGGTAGAGGCCTAACTATGACGCCATTGAATTTACCATGGTGTGTAAGAAGGTGAGAGGATTTTCTCTTTGCCAATTTGTTTTCTCAGAAGTTTAGAAGGTTCTGCAATGATTCTCAAGTCAATCACCCTCAACCTCATGTTCTCTCCTGTGGACTGTCTCTCAGCCTCTCTCTCTCTCTCTCTCTCTCTCTCTCTCTCTCTCTCTCTCTCTCTCTCTCTCTCTCTCTCTGCTTTGGATCGCTCCCTGAATACATCCACTCAGATCAGACCCAGACCCATAGCCGCCTTGCTTCTCTACCACTACCCTAGCTATGGTTGCCTCCGACGCTCTCTTCTTCTTCGAGTGCGATCTTGCCAAGGTCGCATGGTCACACAAGAAGCAGCAGCACTTCCGCAACTTGTCCGTTGCTGCACCGTAGCAGCTAAATATAGGAATTGGACTTTGCTTGGCCTGCCTCAGACCGGTACTGGTCAGCCATGGCCTCTGTCACAATCATTTTGTCGGTCCAGAAGTTTCCTTGACTTTCCTGGGGCTTGCTGCAATTTTTGTGGACTTGGGGACTGGATTTGGACCTTCTGTACTTTTTTGTGGGGTACCGGACTGACTCTACCCTGACCTGACTTTTCCGCATGTTTCCTAACTCGGACCCACGACGCTTCACTGGCCTATCGGACCTACGACGCTTTACTGGACTTCTGGGGATTTGATGCCGGCCTTCAGGGGTCTGCAGGGTGAAATCCTTTCAATCCCGCCGGCCTAATTTCGAGGCCCTCCGAGAAAAATACAATCTTTATCTGTCTGCGACATTCATCCCTTGCCTCGCTCTTTCATAGTAGGCAAAATCGAATGAATTTACAGCTTTAACATGGAAATATACACTGTCACAGTTGTTTTGTTTTGTTTTTTACATTTGTCTTTTTTTTTTTTTTTTTTTTTTTTTGTGTGTGTGTGTGTGTGTGTGTGTGGGAAATAGAGATAAAGCGAGAGAGCGAGCGAGGGATAGAGGGAGAAAGACAGACGCACACAACATAATTAAAAAAAAAAACTCTTATCTTTGTTGGGGGTTATTATTATTATTTGTTTACCCAGCTGAAAACGACCCCCCCCCACATTTCACCTTTTTTTTTTTTGTTGATTGTGGTGGGGGACGCCATGCACAGGCGATGCGTGCGTCTCGATTTTGGGCGCGCGGCTGTGCCTACGTGTGGTGCGGTCGTGAGGCCACGGATCCGCTGTTGTGGGGGTCACAAAGCCTCCATATGAGTCTGATATGACCTTTAATTTTCAGGCTCCTTCTAAAATCTGTTTTTCTTTTATTTTTCTAATAAGGGGATTAAAAGATACAACCCCTTTCAGTTTGATGTATCTGATTCCTTTTCCCAAGGCAGATACATCGAGGAACAGGTTGTACTTTAGCCTTTTCCTCCATATCGCGTTTAATTTTGAGGCTCCCTCTAAAAACGGGAGCCTGAGAGTTGCCTCTGGGAGTTTTTGCCAGAGGTCGCACCTTGTGAGGACAAGTGTCCTCACGAGAACGCAGGAAGAAAAACAAAAACAGCAAAAAGAAACAACTAAATCTAACACCTTACACAACACCGTCTTTGGCCCTGATTCGGGCCAGGGTCGTACTATTGAAACCAACAACACCCTCTCCATTTCCTCTGTCCTCCCCTGAAAACGGGAAGGTAGTTGTTAGGCTGGGAGAGGTAAACACCATCTTTGGCCCTAATTCGGGCCATGATCGTACTATTGAAACCAACAACACCCTCTCCATTTCCTCTGTCCTCCCCCGAAAACGGGAAGGTAGTTGTTAGGCTGGGAGAGGTAGGAAACCAACTTGTGAAAACTAACGAGTTCAAATCCCGATAGGCTCAAAGCGGGGTGCAAAACGTACTTGGACCTTCGCGATTAAAAAAAAAAAACTCGTAAAATAAAAAAATCTGAAACAATTTACGTGCGTGGTGTAGGTGTCCAGCTTCTCAAAAAAGAAATTCAAGGCCGACAAAAATAATTTGCGCTACCAAAAAAATATTGGCGCAAACCACAAAATCTTGATCCCGTTTTCTCGTTCTCTTTTCTTTTCTTTTCCTTTACTTTTTTTTTTCTTCTTCCCCCCATGAAACGGGGAGGAAGCTGGCAGGTTGGGAGGAGCAGGTCCTCTCTCCCATCCTCCCCCATTTCTCTCTTTCTCTCTCTCCGAACCCCCTCTATCCCACTCGCGAGCGTTGTGAGCCATGGGATCTAAGATCCCGTGGCTATGAATATTTGTGCCAAATAGAGGTGGGAGCCCATTGTGCTCGCACACAGCCGAAGTGGTTGTTCCAACCACTTGGAAGGTAGTCTTTTTTTTTTTTTTTTTTTTTTTTTTCCTGCCATAACTGTAGGTATAAAGCAACGGTCGTCACCTCCAATGCCATTACCCTATTGAAACCCTCACCATTAAGGTGACCCGAGTTCAATTCCCAAAGGAATAGAAGCTCAATTTTTTTTTTTTTGATCATTTTTTTATTTATATGTGTCATCCTTGCACTACGACCATGCTTATCTCGCACGACCGATTTCGGTCGCTTGATCGGATGATCCTGCGGTCGAAATTGACCGTGCCACATGCCTCCTGGTTGGGCCGCTCCCAAAAGGAGCTAGCCCAGGTAGTGCAACGTTAGGCTCGAACCTGATTCCTGTAGGGCAAGAGTCTGGTATGTCAACCTATTGGGCTAGCTCCTATTCAGGTTCTTCCTTATGAAGAGCCCAAACCCATCGTAGGTGATCGACCTGCAGTCCGACAGACTTCTGACTGCCCCTGCTACTCAATCTATCGGTCGCTGACCCCTGGAGCAAAAGGCGGCCCATCCTAACAAGATACGCTCTTGCGACGCGACTGTTAACACCACTTGGCTGTTTTTTTTTTTTTAACCCTGAATTGTACGGTTGTCACAATTTTAAATAGAAGAAGTTTATACTTAGTACTTCAGACGGCCGCGTGCCTTTGCGGCCTCGCCAAACACGAAGCTGGTTGGTCACCCCACCGATCCTCGTCGTCGCCGTCGCAGGTCGCAGTCTCGCAGACATATGGACTTTAGATAAAACGTTCTTCTCCCTTGGTCGCAAGTCTGGTCCGAATAGACTTTGGCAAATACCTCATTCTCATCAAGGCAACTAATTAAAAGAAAATCATACCAACAGCCAGACAGTGCCCGACATTGAAAATCCCGAGCAGATACCCTTGTAAGGGTTTCTGCTCCGACAACGTTCCGGGACCCCATTGAACGATGTCTTCTTCATTCACATATAAATCAACAACTAGGACAATGATTCCTTTGAAACTTCCATGTGAAAGCAATAATCACAACATACGACAAATTCAATAATTCAAACAACCATCCAGCTCCAAGCCGAAATTTTTCACCAACAGAACAAAATATTTACATAACACGAAAACTGAATTCAATAAAAAAAATCTTACTTTCTTATAGCATCAAAACGCTGATTTTCCCCCAGACTCGTTTCCTGGGAGCCTAAACGAGGATTTTTTTCTGAATGGTTCCAGCATCATCCCACTGACAACCACTCAAAAAATATTTTTGTCTCTCTGAATGGTATCGGAAGCCCTCTGACTAGATCCAAAACGAAATCAATTCGGTTGATACTTATGTGTCACCTGAGTAGAAATCCAAGTGAGCCAGGAATAACCCCTGATAAGTATTTTAAACGAACCATCCAGAGAGAAACCATTCTTTCAACAGTCCTGATTCAAGTTTCAAAACACAGTATCTTTTAGAAGTAGATTGAGTCGACCAACAGGGCCGCTTGCTGTGTTTGAGCTGTAGTAGCCGCTTTCTACTTCTAAAGTCCCTGGACGGACTTGGTTAAGGGTGGCACGACCGATACGAGTTGCACGACAAACTCTTTTATCATGATTTATTCCATTTGCAGGTCAGGGCGTTATAGGTCGAGGAGTAAGAAGGTGCCCTATGGTCCGGGCCCTTCTTGGTCGTCCCTAATCTGAAACGGTCTTCGAACATTTTGGTCGTGGCTGCATAGCTATGGCGACGGACGCCCGAAGGGTTGTCGTCATCCCATTTGGAATCTTAACCCTATATCATAATTTTCCTTTCCGTATTTTATCATATAGCGTACATGATTAATTCCTTCATGTTGTGTGTAATCGAGTTACACTTCTTACGGATGTTTTTCCGTAACCGAGAGTCAGTCAGACCTCAGACGAAGTCCATCCGCACCATCATTTCATCGACCTCGGAGCGTTTAGCTAGGTAAGAAAACCTTTCCACGTATCGAGCAAGAGTCTCATGGGGTTGCTGCATGTATTCCTTGATCAAGCGCAAACATTGCCCGAGCACTATGTGATCAAAGCGTTCAAGAAAACTCATGTGGAAGTTCCGCCAGTTGGTATAAAGGTTTTGCCCATACCACTCGGATCCATCCAGTGTAGTCACCTCAAACGGGGGCGGCCCGTTCGTACTCCCGTACGACCATATGTATGGGCCCTGAGCACCTGTACGGGCCGTACATATGGATTCCGGCCGTCCGTACGCGGCCTTCGGGGGGGCTTAGGGGGTGGGGGGGGGAGGAGTGTTGGCGGGAGCCCCACGGCGTTTAAAAAAAAAAGGAACAACTTTTTTTCAGGTGAGGGGGGTGGGGGATTGGGGGTTAATGAATTTTTTTTTTATGGGGTTACGACCATTACAGGGGTTGGGTTCGCCAAGGGTGGGGGTGGGGTGAAGGTTTTGCACCCGTAAAAAAAAAAGAAAAAGTTCTTTGTCGTGTGCCACTCCACGACCCTTCCCAAACAAGCACCCCCCAACCCCACCCCTCGCCAACCCCCAACACCCCCCCATCTTCCCCCCACCAATGCCCCTGCACACCACGACCCCAACCCCCCTCCACAACACGGTGAAGACCCCTCCGACCCAAGCAAACCCATCTCCAACACCTCCCCAACCCTTCCCCAACAGCAACCTCCCCACCCCCAAGACATATCACATATGTTAGGGGTTAGGGAGGGGTGCGTGGAGGTTGGGGGGTTGTGTTGGGGAAGGGTTGGGGAGGTGTTGGGGACTGGTGAGGTATACACATCTAGATGTGT